CCTGCCCATCACCTGCCCATCACCTGCCTATCACCTGCCTATCACCTGCCCATCACCTGCCCCATCACCTGCCTCATCACCTGCCCATCACCTGCCCATCACCTGCCTATCACCCTGCCCATCACCTACCTATCACCTGCCTATCACCTGCCCATCACCTGCCTATCACCTACCCCACCACCTGCCTATTGCCCACCTGCCTATCACCTATCACCTAACCACCACCTGCCTATTGCCCGCCCATCACCTGCCTATCACCTACCCACCACCTGCCTATGCCCCCCACCTACCCATCACCTGCCCTATCACCTACCCATTGCCCACCCTACCCACCACCCCCACCCCTACCCATACCTGCCCATCACCTGCCCATCACCTACCCATCACCTGCCCATCACCTACCCATCACCTGCCCATCACCTGCCTATCACCTACCATCACCTGCCCATCACCTGCCCACCACCTGCCATCCGCCCACCCATCACCTACCTATCACCTGCGTATCACCTACCCATCACCTACCCATCACCTACCATCACCTGCCCATCACCTACCCATCACCTGCCCATCACCTACCCACACCTGCCCATCACCTACCCATCACCCACTCATCACCTGCCCATCACCTACCCACTACCTGCCCATCACCTACCCATCACCAACTCATCCATCGCCCGCCCATCACCTCCCTATTGCCCGCCCCATCACCATTACCTATCACCCATCGCCCCCCATCACCTACCTATCACCTGCGTATCACCTACCCATCACCTACCCAGCCACCTGCCCATCACCTACCCATCACCTGCCCATCACCTACCCACTACCTGCCCATCACCTACCCATCACCCACTCATCACCTGCCCATCACCTACCCACTACCTGCCCATCACCTACCCATCACCAACTCATCACCTGCCTATCGCCCGCCCATCACCTCCCTATTGCCCGCCCATCACCCATTACCTATCACCCATCGCCTGCCCATCGGCCACTGCCTATCTCCCATCGTCTGCCCATCGCTCCTCACCCATTGCCCACCTATCACATGCCCATCGCCTATCACCCATCGTTTGCCCCATCACCCGCCCATCACCCATCGCCTGCCCATCGCTCATCACCCATCGCCTGCCCATCGCTCATCACCCATCGCTTGCACATCACCTGCCCATTGGCCATTGCCTACCTCCCATCGTCTGCTCATCACCCATCATTTGACCATCACCTGTCCATTGCCTATCGCCTGCCCATCACCCATCGCCTGCCCATCGCCCGCCCATCACCCGCCCATCACCCGCCCATCATTTGCCTCATCACCTGCCCATCACCCATCGCCTGCCCCATCGCCCGCCCATCACCCGCCCATCATTTGCCTCATCACCTGCCCATCACCCATCGCCTGCCCATCGCCCGCCCCGCCCACCCCCCATCATTTGCCTCATCACCTGCCCATCACCCATCGCCTGCCCATCGCCCGCCCATCGTTTGCCTCATCACCTGCCCATTGTCTGTCCATCACACATTGCCTACCCATCCTGGCTGCCATCTTGCTTCTTCTTCTGTCTCTCAGGTTCGGCTGTAGCTGCTGTATAAAATGAATCATCCCATACCAGCCCCATATTAACTCCTCCCTCCCCTTCCCCGTATTAACTCCTCCCTCCCCTTCCCCCAATTAAAGTGGTTGTGAAGGTTTTCTACCTTTGTGCATTCTATCCATGAAGGTAAAAAACCTTCTGTGTGGCGCACCCCCCTCCGCCCCCCCAATACATACCTGAGCCCCCTGTGGATCCAGCAATGTGCGCGGGAGCCTCGGCTGTCCCGGGACTCCCTCTCCGTTATGGCTGAGACAGCAGTGGGAGCCATTAGCTTCCACTGCTGTCAATCACAGCCAGTGAGCCAATGAGGAGAGAGCGGGGGGCGGGGCTGACCCGCGGCTCTATGTGTCTAATGCAGGCCCAGTGGCGTCCCGAGGCAGGTGCGGGGGGTGCTGTCCTCAACGGGTGACACCGACCGAACGGGGTGACACCGGACCCGCTCCACAAAAAGGTAAGTTGTAAAGCAAGCCAACGATCCATCCTGCAGGGATCATTGGCTTTCTTTACAACTTACCTTTTCTTGGAGCGGGTCCGGTGTCACCCCGTGCGGTCGGTGTCACCCCCGTATAGATCCCCGCAGGATCCTCGGCATGCAACCTATACGGTCGAAATCATTGGTGGCACCATCGAATTACAGAACGAACGACGTTTTGATTTTCGGACAAAAAATCATTCGGAATTCGAACCATGTATGGTCTGTCTAAGGATGCTTAGAAGCAGGCTGGAGAGTGAGCATGCACCAGTGACCCCATAGCAAGCTGCTTCTACTGGGGGCACTGGGCACTGGTTCACACTGATGCAGTGCAGAACTGGCAGCGGTTCCTGTACAAATTCCACACCGCATCCCAATTCCCGAAACACCCCGAAATCGGTGCGATGTGCAGAATCGGATCGCATTGATGCGAATACCCGTGCGATCTGATTCTAGTGCGGACAAAAAAAGGGTCCTGCGCCTTTTTGGTGCGATTAGAGCCATACAAAATGTACGACTCCGATCGCACCGCGCAGACTTCGCATGTGATTTGCGCAGGAATGCGGCGCGGTCCCTGCGATGTGCTGCGCGGCATGAAGTGTGATCCCGGGCCGGGAGGGAGGATTTCCTGAACGAAATTCATAGAAAAAACTCCGGAACAAATCCACGAGTTCCCTGATCTGGGAGCTGCGTGTGCGGTTTTGTTTCACTTTCAGTGCGGTGTCCCCGTGTCACTCCCGGCGGGGTCTCTGCCAGGATGTTTATGGGGGCCGGGCCCCTCGTTCCCTTCATGTGGTGGTGACGCAGCGTCTGCCCGCGGACGGCCCGGATCCCGCCGGTGACGTGTTTTCCCCGACCTCAGCAGAAATCTGCCCATAAAATATTCTCTTCCAAACCAGAGAAACGTTTCCATCCAGAGCCACAGCTGCCAACGCTCCGCCGCCAAGTGTGTGTGTGTGTGTGGGGGGGCACTCTGAGAACGCGGCCTGGGTACCCTGTCCCATGGATTCCATGCCAAGGGGGGGGCACGGCGTCCATGACAGATCCTCCTCCAGGGGGGGGGCAGCCGATGGATTTAACGGATAATTCTGATTCTTGTAACCAGTAACACGACAATGTCAGGGCGGGCATGCCGACCCCCCCCCATTATGTGTCAGCAAAGATCCCCCCCATTATGTGTCAGCAAAGATCCCCCCATTATGTGTCAGCAAAGATCCCCCCCCATTATGTGTCAGTAAAGATCCCCCCCCCATTATGTATCAGTAAAGATCCCCCCCCTCATTATGTGTCAGTAAAGATCCCCCCCAGTATGTGTCAGTAAAGATCCCCCCCCCATTATGTTTCAGTAAAGATCCCCCCCCCCATTATGTTTCAGTAAAGATTCCCCCCCATTATGTGTCAGTAAAGATTCCCCCCCATTATGTGTCAGTAAAGATTCCCCCCCCCCATTATGTGTCAGTAAAGATTCCCCCCCCCCCCCCCCCATTATGTATCAGTAAAGATTCCCCCCCCCCCATTATGTATCAGTAAAGATCCCCCCCCCCCCCCCCCATTATGTGTCAGTAAAGATTCCCCCCATTATGTGTCAGTAAAGATTCCCCCCCATTATGTGTCAGTAAAGATTCCCCCCATTATGTATCAGTAAAGATTCCCCCCCCCCATTATGTATCAGTAAAGATTCCCCCCCCCCATTATGTATCAGTAAAGATTCCCCCCCCATTATGTTTCAGTAAAGATTCCCCCCCATTATGTATCAGTAAAGATTCCCCCCATTATGTTTCAGTAAAGATCCCCCCCCATTATGTGTCAGTAAAGATCCCCCCCCCCATTATATATCAGTAAATAACCCCCCCCCATTATGTATCAGTAAAGACCCCCCCCATTGTGTGTCAGTAAAGATTCCCCCCCATTATGTATCAGTAAAGATTCCCCCCCATTATGTATCAGTAAAGATCCCCCCTTATGTGTCAGTAAAGATTCCCCCCATTATGTATCAGTAAAGACCCCCCCCCATTGTGTGTCAGTAAAGATTCCCCCCCATTATGTATCAGTAAAGATTCCCCCCCATTATGTATCAGTAAAGATCCCCCCTTATGTGTCAGTAAAGATTCCCCCCCATTACGTATCAGTAAAGATCCCCCCCCCATTGTGTGTGTCAGCAAAGATTCCCCCCCATTATGTCAGCAAAGATCCCCCCATTATGTGTCAGTAAAGATCCCCCCCATTATGTGTCAGTAAAGATCCCCCCCCCCCATTATGTGTCAGTAAAGATTTTCCCCCCCCCCATTATGTGTCAGTAAAGATTTCCCCCCCCCCCCCCCACAAAAACAATAATGTGCCAATCTGCATACTTATACCCCAAGCATAAATCCCCCCCCCCCCCCAGTACAAATGACACCCCCACTAAAATCCCCCTTCCAGCACAAATCTTTGCCCCCCCCATCCCTGCTCCTGCCATGTCACCTCTTCTAGTAAAAATCATCTTCCCCCATCCCCCCTCCCTGCACATATCCCCCCAAATGACCACTCCTAGAACAATTCCCTCCCCCTTTTCACACCCCAAATTCCCTCTCCCAACACAAATCCCTCCCCCCCAAATCATCTCACAGCTCCCCCCACCTCACACAATACTACAGCACCCAGGGCAGCTCCCCCCCCCAACTCTGCTTGTAAATCAATGCATTATAACATCTCAACGTTTTCTTAATTGAAATCCTTCATTTGGCTCCTCCCCTTCAGTCTGGCACAGTTGTACCGACTCCTCCCCTTCAGTCTGGCACAGTTGTACCGACTCCTCCCCTTCAGTCTTGCACAGGTGTACCGGCTCCTCCCCTTCAGTCTTGCCCAGGTGTTCAAGCGCCTCCCCTTCAGTCTTGCACAGGTGTACCGGCTCCTCCCCTTCAGTCTTGCACAGTTGTACCGGCTCCTCCCCTTCAGTCTTGCCCAGTTGTACCGGCTCCTCCCCTTCAGTCTTGCACAGGTGTACCGACTCCTCCCCTTCAGTCTTGCCCAGTTGTACCGGCTCCTCCCCTTCAGTCTTGCACAGGTGTACCGACTCCTCCCCTTCAGTCTTGCACAGGTGTACCGGCTCCTCCCCTTCAGTCTGGCACAGTTGTACCGGCTCCTCCCCTTCAGTCTTGCACAGGTGTATCGGCTCCTCCCCTTCAGTTTTGCACAGGTGTACCGGCTCCTCCCCTTCAGTCTTGCCCAGGTGTACCGGCTCCTCCCCTTCAGTCTTGCCCAGGTGTACCGGCTCCTCCCCTTCAGTCTGGCACAGGTGTTCAAGCGCCTCCCCTTTAGTCTTGCACAGGTGTACCGGCTCCTCCCCATCTGTTTTGCACCAGTGTATCGGCTCCTCCCCTTCAGTCTTGCACAGGTGTACCGGCTCCTCCCCTTCAGTCTTGCACAGGTGTACCTCCTCCTCCCCTTCAGTCTTGCACAGACCCTCCCACCAGCCGTGATCTGCCTGCATTGCATAGAGAAGCGCAGAGACCCAGTAATGACATCACTAACCCTAAAATAAAATGTAATGGAAATTAAAAAAAAGGTTTTATATAAAAATGTCATTACCATGTTGATGATGGGGGGGGAGGGGGGAGAAATAAAATGCGATTAAGTTCAGCTCTAATAGGAAGTAGAAAGAGGAAGTCGTTTCTGCAGAGAACATCCTTGCAATGAGCCGCTCCCACATGGCGGGTTGTGCTTCCCGGTCACATGACAACGCAAAGCGAGCAGAAAGTCAGACGATCGAGGCAAAGAAATAATCGGGTTCGAGATTCTGACCTGCTGAGGGTTTCAGCCCGATCCGCTCCCTGGCGATCCGGGAACACCAGCTTCTGGGGCTGGAGAGGAGTTCCCAAACACTCCCACTTCAGGCTCCTCCCTGTCCTTGATGAATCAGAACGTCAGGGATAAGAAACCACCAATCAGATTCAACCTTTCTTCGGGAAATTGGAAGTGATTGGTGAAGGCAGCAGAGAGAGCAGGAAGACCCTCCCAACGCACGGGTGAGGTGACCTCTGAATTCTGTATGACATCACGCATTCTGTATGACCTCTGTATGACATCACTCTCATATTGCACTGTATGACATCACACATTCTGTATGACATCACGCTTGTATTGCGCTGTATGACATCACACATTCTGTATGACATCACGCATTCTGTATGACATCAAGCACTCTGTATGACATCACGCATTCTGTATGACATCACGCTCGCATTGCACTGTATGACATCACGCACTCTGTATGACATCACGCTTGTATTGCGCTGTATGACATCACGCATTCTGTATGACATCACGCTTGTATTGCGCTGTATGACATCACGCATTCTGTATGACATCACACTCGTATTGCGCTGTATGACATCACGCATTCTGTATGACATCACGCATTCTGTATGACATCACACTCGTATTGCGCTGTATGACATCATGCATTCTGTATGACATCATGTTTAATGCACACATGCCCCAATGCAAGAATGCAAAGAGGGCGGGGTTTAACGCACACACGCCCCAATGCAAAAAGAGGGCGGGGTTTAATGCACACACAGCTGAGTGGGAAGGGGTTAAAGGAACCCAAAGACATACGAGGTGATATTCCTGATCACAAATATCTGCGATTCCATATTTGTCGCCTCCGCCTGTCCCATCCACCGAACCGGCATGGAATCTACTTTTCTGCACCATCAGCGATTTCCTGCCCGGATAGATCGCATTTCAGCGCGACGGTCTGCCGAGGACGTTGGCGACACTCCGCGCGCTGCGAGTCAATTTGTGCAGCAGCTCCGCCCCTTCCCAGGCTGACAGTGCGACTTTTTCCATTGATGCTGAAATTGCTGAGTAATCAGCTGTGGAAAATGAAAACGCATCTAAAGATCTTTTTTTTTTTTCTAAATAGAACCCTGAAAAATCTGGAATCTTGGGGCTCGCTCCTGCACTGTGCTGGCTATGTATGGCGGAAAGGGTGCAAGTGATGGGAATGCATAAAACTCTACATGAATTCACGGCGCTCTATAAGTACCTGAAATAAATAAACAGGCTTGTAATTGGCTAGATGTTGGCACCAAGCTCCTGTCCCCGCCCCTCTCCTGGCTAGAACACTGCCCCTCCTGCTGAAGCCGATCCCTCCGCCATCTTTTTTTTTTTTATTTGCGGTGCCTCAAAATCGGACAAAAATAGTGCGGGAAACTTTTTCAAAGTTGCACCCTATTTGCCGCTTTGGAACCGTTCAAATAAAAACGGCACTAGATAACATTTAGGGCCACATTCACACGTTACCATTTCATGAACGCATGTCAAGGTGTGAGATGAAAAATCGGCAGATTAAACGACCCGTCTATGGCCGGCATTAGCCCCCGGTCACATCAAAGCCACTTTCACTGTAATGCAGGCCATAGACGGGTCGTTTATTGGACGATTTGTAATCCGCACGAAAAATCAGCCGATATTCACGCCGTTAGTGGGGCCCGCCCGTCGTCCATTTTTGTGGATCTTCTCGTTATCGGTCATGCTGAAAAATCCACGAAAAACATCCGCTGGTGGCTGCAACGGCGCCAACCGATATGGCCAGCTTTATGCAGGCCATAGACGGGTCGAAAACTGGCATTTTTTTTAACAAAAAAACTAAAAATCGGTCGTCGTTCAATAGGCCGACGTTACCACCAACGGTAAAAAAATCGGCCGATTTTCATCCCGTCTACAGCCGGCATTTAATTACTTCTGTCCCTGCAGAGAGCTCCGCTATTATATTTGACATGAAAGTCTTGCGGTTGCAACAATGTATCCATTTGTATCCATTTGTATCCATTTGTATCCATTTCGGATACAGATGTTCTTATTCGGATACAAATGGATACATTTGTTGCAACCGCAAGACTTTTTCATATAAAATATAATAGCGGACTGGAATACTCCTCCCCCTTCCTCTTCCTCCTCCCCCTTCCTCCTCCCTCTTCCTCTTCTTCCTCCTCTTCCTCCTCTTCCTTTCTTCCTCCTCTACTTCTTCTTCCTCCTCCCCCTCCTCCCTCTCTCCTCTTCGTCTTCTTCCTCCTCCCTCCTCCCTCTTCCTCTTCTTCCTCCTCTTCTTCCTCCTCTACTTCTTCTTCTTCCTCCTCCCTCCTCCCTTCTTCCTCCTCTCTTCTTCCTCCTCTTCCTCTTCCTCCTCCCTCTTTCTCTTCTTCCTCCTCTTCCTCTTCTTCCTCCTCTACTTCTTCTTCCTCCTCCCTCCTCCCTCTTCTTCCTCTCTTCTTCCTCCTCTTCCTCTTCTTCCTCCTCTTCATCTTCTTCCTCCTCTACTTCCTCTTCCTCCTCCTCCTCCTCCCTTCCTCTTCGTCTTCTTCCTCCTCCCTCCTCCCTCTTCCTCTTCTTCCTCCTCTTCTTCCTCCTCCCTCCTCCCTCTTCTTCCTCCTCTTCTTCCTCCTCTTCCTCTTCTTCCTCCTCTTCCTCTTCTTCCTCCTCTACTTCTTCTTCCTCCTCCCTCCTCCCTCTTCCTCTTCGTCTTCTTCCTCCTCCCTCCTCCCTCTTCCTCTTCTTCCTCCTCTTCTTCCTCCTCTACTTCTTCTTCCTCCTCCCTCCTCCCTCCTCCTTCTTCTCCTCTTCCTCTTCCTCTTTTTCCGATTTGCCCATCATTGCTGCGAAAATCGGCCGATTTTTTTCCCCCAACTTTTACCAACTAAAAAAATGTGTCAGAATCCAGAAAAATGGCCGACCAATTAACCCATCAACAGTGCGAAAATCGGTCGTTTTTTTTTTTTCTTCCGGCCGAAAAATCAGCCGATTTGCGACCCATCCATGGCCTGCATAAGTCACACGATTCCAAAATGGGGTGAGTTGCCGATTTCCATTTGCAAGACACCTGACACAGATGTCTATGCAAATCACACCAAAAGTCGTGCATGTCCTACTTTAGAAATCGGTGCGACTGAGTTGGAACCGAACCGATATGACCAATTTAATAGCGGACAATAGGGTGCGACTTGCCCTACGATTTGCAAGTTGCCTGGCATGCCAAATCCCACCCGATGTGTCCGGGGGCTAACAACCAGATCACACTGGATGCAAATTGGCATGCTATGCGACTTGCAAATCGCATGCCAAGTCGCACCCTATTGTCTGCAATTAGAGCGATCATATCGGTGCGGTTCCGACTCAGTCGGAGCCGTACCCAGGGGCGGACTGACAACTCATGGGGCCCCCGGATAGGGGATCATGGGGCCCCTGGGCAATAGGGGATCATGGGGCCTCCGGGCAAAAGGGGATCATGGGGCCCCCGGGCAAAAGGGGATCATGGGGCCCCCGGGCAAAAGGGGATCATGGGGCCACCTGTGTCCTCTCCCAGACCCAAACCGTACCCAAAAAAGCCTATGAAAGGTACCAGGGACATCTCATAGGGCCCTCTACTGACCCCGGGCCCTCGGGCAGTGCCCGAGTTCCCCAATGGTCAGTTCGTCCCTGGCCGCACCGCTTTCTAAAGAAGTCCATGCGCTACTTTTAATGCGATTTGCATGGACATCTGTGTCAGTTGTCTTGCAAATCTCACCTAAAATCGGCACGTCCCCCGACTTTGAATTCGTGCGACTTCACTGTAAGTCGCATGACTTCAAAGTCGGGTTTGGTGTGACCGGGGACTTATCGCTACTTGTGAAGATTTTCAATGATTTCTTGCAATTTGCGGTGCGATTTTCATTGTATTATATATTCACATATGTATGTGAAATCGTCATGAAAGGACTACTTCAGAAATCGCGCTGCAGCAAATCGCACGTGTCACTAGCTGTGATTTCAGGTGCGATTTCAACTCCCAAATCGCACCTGTATGATCGGGCACTTAATGAATGGCACCGCAAACGCGGCCCGCGTGGTTTTCCTGCATTTCGTAAACACGAGCAAAAATGCTAAATTTTACAAAGGGTTGACGGAAACCCTCAATGTGAATGGCACCTACAGTAACACCCTGGTCACATCAGTGTGACTTGGCATGCGATTTGCATGACCTGCGACTTGCAAATCGCACCCAATTGTCCACAATTGGAGCGGTCATATCGGTGCAGTTCTGACTCGGTCGGAGCCGCACCGACTTCAATCGTAGTCCATGCGCTGCTTGTCGTGCGATTTGCATAGACATCTGTATCAGATGTCTTGGAAATCGCACCTAAAATCGGTGGGTCCCCCCGACTTTGAAATCGTTCGACTTCACTGTAAGTCGCATGATTTCAAAGTCGGGCTTAATGTGAACGGGGGGTTAGTCTCCGGTCACACCGCTGCGAATTAACATCCTGCGATTTGTGTGCAATTTCAGTGTGATTTTGGAAGAATTTATTGCTACTAGTGAAGATTGTTGACAATTTCTTGCAATTTGCCGTGCGATCTCCATTTAGAAATTTCCATTTAGATTTCCACCTTAGAAATGGCGCTGCAG